CAGTACATATGTGTCATGAACCAAGGATTATGAGTGATCCAACTGAGGCCCAACAAAAAAAGAGAAAAAACCAGAGAAAGAAAAATCTAACAAAAGCTTTCAGGAAAAAGAATGAGTTACCTTCAAAGGAAAAAGGATCAGAGCTACAGTAGACTTCTCATTTGCAGTACTAAAAGCTAGAAGTCAGAGCATCTATAGTCTACTGAGAGGAAAGAACCCAAGAATCTTACACTTAGCTGAGATACACTTATATCCATCAAGCTGAGAATTATTACATTTTGTATTTCTAAGGAACATTTATAACTCTGATCATGTACACAACATAAAGGAAAGCTTAACAAATTCAAAAAGGTATTATAAGTCACATTTAGTCAGAATACCTCCAAGTTAAATAAATAAAAAGTAACTCCTTCCCCAAATAATTAACTACTTAGAAATTAAGAAATATACTCCTAGATAACCCTTTCACCAAAGAAAAAAATAAGAAATTAGAGTATTTAGATGGCACTGAAAAGGAGAATAATTCATATTAAAAATATGACAGAGAAAATTTTACCCACAGGAAAACTTATTCCCTTAAATGTCTCTATTATTAAACAAAAAAGGATGAGAAATAAAAGAACTAAGTACTCCCTTCAGAAGTCTGAAAAATAAAAACATACAAACAAAACAAAAAGAAACTAGGGAGAGGAAATTAATAAATATAGAAGCAAAAAAGTAAGTGTTATGGAAAATAAAATTAATGGAAAGCATAAAAAAATACAAAGGCTAGTTCTTTGAAAAGACTAAAAAACAAAGGCTTCACAAGCTTGATAAATAAAAGATAAAACAAAAATAGACAAAATTAAAAGTCAGAAACCAGGCCTAGCCACAGATGGAGAAAATATTTAAAAATAAGAACATTTATGATATTCACTTAATTTTAATACAAAACTGATAAAATTAGTGCCCCCTAATAAAGAAACATTTATAAATCAATCTCACTTATTAATATACATGTACCAAATTTATAAATAAAATATAACCATGTAGGAAATGATATATTTAAAAAGTAAATGATGTAGGGCTTATTCCATGAGACCAAAGAAATTCGGGAAATTCAATAATACTAATCCATTTTACCAGTTGGTTAAAGGGGAAAAAATGCTATTATATCAATAGATGCTGAAAGGCATTTAACAAAATCCAAAAGCATTTCATATAAAACATCTAAGTAAAATTGGAATAGAAGTAAAACGGTTAATTAAAAATAAATATTTACCAAAAACATCAAATATAATCCCAAGTGACAAAACACCAAATAATTTCAATTAAAATCAGGAAGTAGATGTGGATGCTCAATGTCATCATTATTATTTAACACAGTCTCAGTTCAAATGAATTTAAAAAGATATGAACAAGACAAGAAAATAAAATAACAGGTATAAACCCTGGAAAAAATGGATGAACTCTTTTTCAGGGGTGTTGGAACAGGTGATATAATTGTAGAAAATCCAAGAGATACTAGTAAAAAACGACTAGAATTAATATGAGGATTTTATAAAGTTGATGGATATAAGACAAATACACAAAAACCAATAGTCTTTCTTTATTCTATCAACAAATACCAAGATTTCCAATCTTCTTCCATCCTCTTAATTAAAACTGCTCTTGTTCCTAAAGCCCTGAAAACTGATGCTGGACAACTTGAGGGTAGCTTCAAAGAATTGCCACAAAACTCATGTGCAGACAATCTTTGTGCCTGTTGCACTATGGGCCATTCAAAAGGATCACCAGAGACATTTAAATTACAAACCAGAAAAATTCATCTGATTCCCACAGCCTGATCCCAGTCTGTCTGAGGATGCTTCAAACCTGAGATCTGGAAATCTCTCTGGCAGTACTGGAGACTCAGACACTGGGTTTGTAATCTGCTCCAACCACGAACTTATATTTTTCTTTTGTTTCCATAAAAGTGACTCTTGTTATCTGATTGCTTGCTAAACAAAACAGTCTATATGATGGCTAACACCACCTGCTCCACAATTAAGGCCTTAAGTGACTCTCAAAAATAGCATTACATTATTAAACACTGAAATAACTCATTCATAAGGCAGTTCTCCAAAATAAAATGGCATTAGATATTTTAACTGCTGCACAGGGTGAACACGTGTCATCATAAAAACAGAATGCTATGTATATATTCCAGATTATCACAAAAACTAACAGAATTGCTAAAAGATATAAATATTCAAATTGGCAATTTAAACAATCCCTCCCCTCTCCTTTCAAGATTGGATAAATTCCTGGACTGGAGGAGGATTTTAGCCAACTATCAAAGGTCTCTTTATTGGGCTTCTTTTTCTCATAATAATTTTAATCATGTTTCGCTGTTTTTTTCCAGTGTCTCTCCACCTGGTGCCAAGACTCCTTCACTGCCATAAGATCAAGCCGACAGATGACCCTTTCTACTCAAGGAGATTTCATATATGTTGTCTACCTTGGATTCAGCTGTCTCTGCCTTTCATAATGCCTACATCCCCAACTGACTAATGTTGACCCCGAGGTAGGGACATCTCTACGCCCCTATTCATCAGGGAAAAGTTACAGAAGATAAAACCTTTCACCCTCAGCAACCTTAAAAATTTAAGTCAAAACTGTTCAGGGGATAAATAATGAGGAGAACAAAGGCAAGAGAAATGCAGCTAAAATAGTCTCCTTACAACTTGCAGGTTGCTGATAAATCCGAGACATGCAGAGTGTGACATTCCTCAAGGAACTCATGGCTGCCTTACTGTTGATGTTTCATTGAAGACTAAAAGCAACTTTATCTTAATAATAGCTAGCCCTCCAAGATCCTGGAGACCTTGCTTTTAACATGCACAAATTCCTTAGAGACTATCCCTAACTCCCACTAACTAAAGGGTATATAACCCGTTAGTCCTCACAATCCCAGTGCAGCTCTTTCTGCCCATGGTCCTGTCCCTGTACTATAATAAAAACACCTTTTTGCACCAAAAAAACCCAAAAACAAAAACAAAAAAACAAATATCAAGAAGCTGAAATAGAGAAAATAGTCCATTTATAGTAGATGCAAAACCATGATAGTCATAAACTTAATAAAAATGACAAAGAAACATATTCAAATAAAACTATGAAATCATTTGAAAACAAATTTAAAGAAATGAAAGGACATATTATATTCTTGAATGAGGACTTTGATAATATTAAAAAGACTTACTATCACTAAAATGTCAATCCTCCAAAATTTACTATATAAATATAATGCAATTCCAGCTAGAATCCCTGTTCGGATTAGAATTAAATGAATTACCTTAATGTTTATGTGGAAGAATAACTGCTTATGAATATGTAGAGAAAAACTTGACTACGTATCTATTTAGAGTCTTTGGATTAGAAGTAAATAAAAGATCTTAAAAAGTTCAAATGAAAGAATAACTCCTCCAAATATGTATTTAAAAAGAACAGTAGAGAGAGACACCAGCTATGAGAATATGCTCTTTCGTCACTATATTCAAATGAATATGTATTAGTGGTATATTAAATAAATTAGGGGAAAAGACAGAACACAGTAATCAATGCTAGCATATATAAAATTTTAACATACGACAGATGATAGTTCTATTCAGTGGAAAGGATGGATTATTTAATATATAATACTGATACAACTGGTTATCCATTTGGAAAGAATAAAACTAGATCCCCACATCTCACACCATATAAAAAATAAATCTTACAGGTACTAATGACTTAAATGTAGGAAAATTCAGGAGACTATCTGTATAATTTAAAAATGGGGGGCGCTATTTTAACCAAAAACTAACCCGAAATAATAAGACAGTAATTTGATCATACCAAAATGAAAAACTTTGATATGGTGAAATTTACCATACAAAGTCAATAGACAAATTATATGTTAGAAAAAAATGAATATAAATTATAATTACTATACTTACAAACTGCTTTTAAAAATTATCAAGGAAAATTCCAATAATGCAATAGAAAATTGGCAAAATCTATAAATAGGCAATCCACAGAAAGGAAAATTAGAATGTCTGATATCTGCTCCAAGTTCATGTAATGAATCCTTATTTTCCATTCCAACACCAGTTTCTTTCCAGATTTCCTAGTCTGTGGTATGTTCCCACTCCCAAGAAAAGAGGTTCAGAGTCCTCTGTGACATCCTTCTCTCCCTGGCTACTCAGTCAGGTGTTTATCTCCCTAGTCTGAGTAGTCTGCTCAATCCTGATTCTGTCTTAGCCTTCCCATTGTGGCCATAAAGAGGATCAAAGAGACATACTAAGACAACCATGAGTCCTGCAATCTGACTAGGTTTGCTTTCACTCCCTGCCATTTACCAGCTATGTGAAAACAGGCATGTCACCTTTCTAGGCTTTTTTCTCTCCTCTGCAAGATGGGATAATTATACCTGTTTTCACGGTCACTGTGGAAATTGACAGAAGTAATTTATATACAGTGCACATTAGGACCTAAAATATGTTAGTTCCGTTTCTACTTCAGTTTCTTACAGTTAGTCTAGGCCTGGGTTACCAGCAAAGATAGTTTCTAAATGGCTACTTGGATCCAACTGCTTGATGTTTGGAACACCTCCAATCACTGCTAATAGATCAATTTTGCTAAAACACTGCTTGTATTATATCATTCTCCAGATTACCAATTTTCAACAATTCCTACTGCCTCTAGGGAAAAGTACAAATTCCATAGCCTTAGTGCCAAGACACTTATTCATCTGAGGTAGAAATTTAAAACTTTGCCCAAGGTGCCCAAAACACAATTTTTAATATTTTCATTTGGGAAAATGAAAGAGTATATTCACTTAAGTCTCATCACTCTAAATAGCAGAATGGGAAGGGAAGACAGTAAACATTGATCACAGACACAATTACTGACATAGTTACTAATTTTGCAACACAAACTAATTAAAGCAAGATTTTATTATGGCTAGTTGCTAACAGCAGCAAAAAATAATTCTCTTTTACCTAGTACTTCTTTTTGCAAGTCATGGCATCTGGTTTGCAAGTTTACTTCCTGTTGTTTGGATGTCTGAATCTGCTGAGACCTCAACATGTCTGCATCTGACAACAATTTCAGATTTTTCATTTCCTCTTCAAGGCATATCTTATTTCTCTGGGACACTGTCAAACTTTTCTTTAGTATCTCTATTTCTGTAAGGAAAATGTAAAGTTTACAAATAGACAAAATTGAATCATAAATCATTTCCCCATAGAATGATTATTTCCTTTTAGAAAATTAATAGTTGAAAGTCAAGATGACTTCTCTGTCAGCATAATGACACCTAACCAAAAAAATTTAAATTTAGTAGTTATTCTGAAAAAAGAAATAAGAAAAACGATTATATTGCTAAATGATGTATGAAAACTTTTAGTAGTTTAGCCTTTAAATTGTATTAAATGGCAATCCATCCTGCTTTTCAAATATTCACATAAATGAGTAACACAATATCTGCATAATGTTCTGAGTTTTATTGAAATTAAATTGTTTTCTTGGCAACATGATTTAGAAAAGTAAATTTAAATGTGCTAGCATGAGCTGGTTGGGTGGCATTTCTAGGAGAATAACTAGGGTACATTCTATACACATTATGAAGAAAGGCAGTAGGGATGGAGAGGAATAAAATGATGCAGTGTCTAAAACTAATAAATTTATGGGCAGAAAGTATTAGTTAATATACCTTAATGATTCTAATAATACTCTGTGGCCTCAAAATGAGACCAGAATTTCATTATAGCAATCACTTGTCATTATTCTATCTACTTAGATTAAGCTTAATAAAAATATGCCTTCATAGCATTATGTAGATTTAAATGTGCTAATTTTATATAATTTTGTGAGAAATGCATGGAGCATATTATCCTTCAGAATAATTATCAAGCTCTCCCTTAATCAGTCTCTTCAGCACTACTGTCTTAAACCAGTATTAAAACATTTAAAGAACCACACAATGATAAAATACTATAAAATTTGTACAACCACAATTAATTTGAATTGATGAGGATATGATCTACATGCAAATCTGGATAGTCTGCTTTTTCAGATAGTTCACTTGGAATCCCCTTCCTTGGTTAGCTTGTCCTGGGCCATGTGATGGGTTTAGCACGTGACTGGGTATCAGAGGAGTTTGGCTTGGTCTTGGAGCCACCATGGCAGAAATAGCAGCCACAGGGGCGAGTGAAAACCAGAATCAGAGATCCATAAAACAGACATGGCAGCAGAGGCAATATGGCTGGCAAGTGGTTACAGGAGAAGTAAAGTGGTAGGCTAGACAGAACACAGAGAAGAGAACATGCCTTAAAGGATGGTGATGGATAGGATTAGGATTGTGGTCCAAGGAGAGAAAAGCAAAATATCTTTCTGTGGGTAAAGAGTATGACGGGAAGAAAACATGACCTTTAAGACAGATCTAGGGCATGAGCACAAGGGGTCTAGCATCTTCTTCACTTTTAATTATTGCTCAAAATGGAAAACCTGGTGGGGCGCCTGGGTGGCTCAGTCAGTTAAGCGTCTACCTTTGGCTCAGGTCATGATCCTGGAGTCCCGGGATTGAGCCCCACATTGGGCTCCCTGCTCAATGGGGAGCCTGCTTCTCCCTCTGCCCCTCACCCCACTCATGCTCTCTCTCCCAATAAAATCTTTTTTTAAAAAAAAGGAAAACCTGGAGAAATAAATTGACAAAGACCAAATAAGTAAGGTTTTCTATATTCCAATGATTACTTTATATGGAAATCTTTTTCCTAGAAATAACTATATGCTTCTAAATACTTATGGATATGTACCCATTTGTACAAGGAAAACTGATCACACACTAGTGCATAAAATTTTAAAAGAAGAGGGTTTTAAAAAATATGGAGGTTGCAGTTTTTCTTCATGCCTAAAAAGTCTTGCGTATTTCTGTATCCATAAAGGTGGCTCCTTGTGCTGAATAAATTGTATCCTATCCTAATCATATCTATGTTTAAGTCAGAATGACACTGCAGAGGAGCCTGCACATGCTGTCACCTATTTTTCATTTGCCAGAATGATACTGCTTAGGTTAGTAGGCTGACTCTGTAAGTGTACACTACTATCTGTCTCTAAAATAACTACTCATGTCAACATGACTTTCTATCTGACATTAAAAGAATAAAAATCTGCAATACAAATTTATTTGTGAAACATATTCTAACACATGGAAAAGTACAGCAAGATTTCCAAACTAACAGGAGCTGTGTTTCTAACATGGAATTAGGAGAGTAAACTCAATGAATTTGGAGAGAATTAACTCACCCTTGGCAAATTACACATCCCTCTTGTTTGGCAATCCTACTGTCAACTATTCAATCCTACATTCATCATTCTACAACTTCGTATCTGTCAGTCATGTGTCCCAATTTGGAGTTCAAAAGTTATGATCTCCACCAGATTAACCTATTCTGGTCATTGTACCCACCTTGTGTTTCCCCTGTCTCAGCACCCCCATGGAGAAGGTCCTCCTAACCTCATTCATTTGGCCTGCCACTGCTCATATGCTACCACGGCCTAGAAATCTTTTCTGACCCAATCTGGAAGTGACTTAGATCTTCCTAGAACTTGCTCCAATTTACACCATTTTTACTGCACTGATCATATGTATACATATGATCAACTATTAGACTGTAAGTTATTTTAGGCCAGAGATAATATCTTAATTTTTATTCCACCCATAATTATTACCAGTGATGTCCTAGAAATAACAGGAGCTCAATAGATAGTTACCAAATGAGTAAAGTCATTATTGAGCAAAACTTCTAAGTAGTTTCTGATATACTAGTTGAACATCCTGAATATTTTTTTTGTCTTACCTTACCTTCACTTCATAGGCAAGCATTTTGAGCCCCAGATTATTTAATGTCAGACTAGATAAAGCAATAAACACACACAAGCAATTGTGTGTTTTAATAGGATAAGCAAATAGGCCTATGCTATCCCCAATTTCTTCAATTTTACGAAAAATGTGGACTACATTTCTAAACCTAATACAGAACTTGAATTTTAAAAGTTCAAGAGCTATTCAATCAAGTTACTTTGAGAATGGAAGCAAACTGATTATACACTTAAAATATTCTACCTTTAGTGTGGTGATTCTACACTAAAAATATTTTTTTCCTGAAATTTCTCTTATTAAAATAGGTGTGCTCTGGTTTAAGAAAACCTAATCTATGACATTTGAACTTAAAAAAGTCTTGATTACATAAAGAGAAAGCCACTCATTAGAGGGGTAAGAAATATTTCACTCATATCTGCTATTCAATAATTAACATACTTTGTCAGCAAGAAAATATTATGCAATGCCTTTTCTAGGAATATTGTTTCTGTTTTGGACTTTGAGTTTAAACCTAAATTTTAATGTGCAAATCTTTTAAAGTATCTTGAATAATGTTGTGCAATGTTTATGTGGTTCATGATATTTATTAATTTGTTAGGGCTGCTGTAACAAAGTACCACAGACTGGGTAGCTTAATCAACAGAGATTGCTTTTTTCACAGTTCTGGAGGCTAAAAAGTCTGAGATCAAGGAATCAGCTGGGTTGGTATCTTCTGAGGGCCATGAAGGATGGATCTCTTCCAGGCCTTTCTTCTTAGCTTGTAAATGGCCATCTTCTTCCTGTGTCTTCAAGACTCTTCCCTCTGTATGTGTCTGTTTCCAAATTTCCTCTTTTTTTTTTTTTAGAAACACCAATCATATTAGATTAGAGCCCACCTACTTAAATTTATTTCTTTCAGGACCCAAACTCTAAATACAGTTATATTCTGAGGGATTGGGACTTCAATATATGAATTTGGGGGAGTGACAAAATTCAGTCAATAACACTACATTTTAGAATATAAATTGGCATTTAGATTGTGATTACAAATATGCCAAAAATAAATGAGCATGTGTTGGACTAGAAGATAAAGTAGGAAAATGAAAACAATTATGTTAGGATAAAGGAATTAGGATTATGAATTAGGAGGTTATTTTACTTCTTATAAAAATGTTTCATGTTTTTGTATCAACTTTTCAATTGAAGAACTATGCCATGCACAATCAACTCACCCCATAATGATATATCCATGTAGATCACAAATAAAAGCTGGTATTTAAAAAAAAAAAGTATTTATCATGTAAAATGCTTGTAATACTGTCAAAGTTTATAGATAATATAGGTTTTTAGATTTAGACTAAGTATTATATAATGTTAGCTAATGTAAGTACAATTATTAGTTTTAATCTGATATAATCAATTTCTGTATCTTGATAAGATTTTTCTGTTCTTCTTAGTCCTGTTAGCTTAGCCACGTGGACTTAAAATTATTTTAGGTTATTATGTTTTTAGGAAACCTCCACAATTTTAGACATTCTAATAGATGTGTATTTCATTTCATTATGTTATAATTTCCATTTCCCTAATTGGCTAATGATGTTAAACAATTTTTCATGTGCTTTTTCCATCTGCATATCCTCTTCGATGAAATTTTTGCTGATATAATTTGCCCATTTCCTAATGAGTCTGTTTATTTAAAATGTAGAGTTTTGAGAGTTTTTCATGTATTCTAGATAAAAGTCCTTTGTGTGGTCCACAAATATTTTCTCCTGATCTGTAACTTGCCTCTTCATCCTCTTAACAGGGTCTTTCACAGAGCAAAACTTAATTTTGTTGAGGTTCTATTTATCAAGTTTTCCTTTTATGTATCATGCTTTTAGTTCAAGTCTGAGAATATCAGGTCCCAAAGATTTTCTAGTTTTCTAGTTTCCTTTAGATCTATGATCCATTTTGAATTAATTTTTGTATAAGGCACAAGGTTTTGGTCAAGCATTCTTTTTTTTTTTTTTGCCTATGGGTAACCAATTACTCTAGTAATTACTCCAGTTACTCTACTGTCTCTGTTATTACTTTCAATCTGTTAAAAAAAAAGGGGGGGGGCTAGGCTGTCCTTCCTCCACTGAACTGCTTGCTTACCTCTGTCAAAAATCAGTTTAGCATACTTATGTGGGTCTAAATTTATATATATAAATATATTTAATATATTAAAATATATTAATATATTAATAAATGTTTATATTTATTAATATATTTATCAGATAAAGGGCTAGTATCCAAAATCTGTAAAGAACTTATCAAACTCAACACCCAAAGAACAAATAATCCAGTCAAGAAATGGGCAGAAGACATGAACAGACATTTCTCCAACTGGCCAACAGACACATGAAAAAACGCTCAACATCACTTAGCATTAAGGAAATACAAATCAAAACCACAATGAGATACCATCTCACACTGGTCAGAATGGCTAAAATTAACAAGTCAGGAAACAACAGATGTTGGCAGTGATGCGGAGAAAGGGGAACCATCCCACACTGTTGGTGGGAATGCAAGCTGGTGCAGCCACTCTGGAAAACAGTATGGAAGTTCCTCAAAAAGTTGAAAATAGAGCTACCCTAGGACCCAGCAATTACACTACTGGGTATTTACCCCAAAGATACAAATGTAGTGATCCAAAGGGGCACGTGCACCCCAATGTTTATAGCAGCAATGTCCACA